CTGAGCAAATATCTTTCTATAAAGCTTGGGAAAAATCGAATAGATTAAGCTTAATGTTTATGCGAATGACTGTAGCAAACAACATAAAGTGTACATTTTCTAACACTGAAAGTGCTAAGGAATTTATGAAATTTGCTGAGAATTGTTCTCAGTCTGACTCTGCTGATAAGTCTCTTGCTGGGACACTATTAAGTACGTTAACCAACATGAAATTTGATGGTTCTCGTACCATGCATGAGCATGTCGTTGAAATGACGAACATAGCAGCAAGACTTAAGACCCTAGGAATGGAAGTGAATGAAAATTTCCTTGTGCAATTTATCATTAACTCCTTGCCTCCTGAGTATGGTCCATTTCACATGAACTACAACACTATGAAAGATAAGTGGAATGTGAATGAACTACAATGTATGCTCATTCAAGAGAAAGCAAGGCTTAAGAAAGGAACAAATCACTCCATTAATCTCATGGGTCATCAAAGAAGAGCTGTAAAGAAACCTGAAAAGAAGAATGAAAAGGGCAAGCAATGACCACTAAATGTTAATGTGTCATCTGCCCCAATTCACAAAGAGGAATATAAAGGAATTAAGTGTCACTTTTGCAAAAACCCTGGACACTATCAAAATGAGTGTCAAAAGCGCAAAGACTAGTTTGAAAAGAAAGGTAAACCTGATGGATTGATTCTGGTTGTACCACTCATGTTTCTAATACGATGCAGGGATTCCTTACAACCCAAATCATAAACCCAAATGAACAATTTGTCTTCATGGGAAACCGAGTCAAAGCGCTAGTTGAAGCTATTGGAAGATATTAGTTGATTTTAGATACTGGACATCATTTAGACCTTTTTCAAACCTTTTATGTCCCTTCTGTTTCTCATAACTTAATTTCGTTGTCTAAACTTGATTCTATTGGATACTCATTTAAATTTGGAAATGGTTATTTCAGTTTGTTTAAACACAATCATCTCATAGTTTCTGGTATTCTTTGTGATGACCTATACAAGCTTAAACTTGATAACATTTTCTCTGAGAATTTAATGACTTTACATCATAATATTGGTACTAAACATGATTTTATTAATGAAAGTTCAGCTTATTTGTGTCATAAACGTTTGGGTCATATATCCAAAGAAAGAATTGAAAGATTAGTAAAGAATGAAATCCTTAATGAGTTATATTTTACTGATCTTGTTATCTGTGTGAATTGTATTAAAGGAAAACACACAAATCACACTCTTAAGAAAGCCGCCACAAGAAGCACACAGCTTCTTGAAATTATACACACTGATATTTGTGGACCTTTTGTGATATTTGTGGACCGTGCAGAGAAATACTTTATCACATTTATTGATGATTTTTCATGTTATGGGTATGTCTA